TTTTTAATAAATTTAGGGTAGTAACATTTTGGGATAAAATGTGGGATTATGTTAATTTATATTGTTTCTCAATGAGAGGATAGGAACTATATAATTCACATTTAACAAATGTTTGTTAATAAGTCCTTAATTTAGGGAATTTATAATTAAGGACTCCAATCTCTTTGCTTTCACAATGCATATGTTTATATATCCACATAAATAATAATATTACATCAATTAATATAAAGAATTATATTACAAGTATTTACCCAACAACACACCCGGGTTGGAATTGATTGAGATGAAGACAGTTCACTATAGGTAGCTATTATCACGTAGAAGTGTAGAAGAAAGTACAAGATTAAAAAGAAGGCCACCAACATACCTTATATTGGAAATATGCATTAATTTAGTTAATTACTTGCAACCGACAATATTGTACTGCCTATGAAATTTAGCATTATTGTATGCAGATTTTGGTGTCAATTTTTTTTAAAAAAATAAAAAATAAATAAAAAATTGAACAACCTTACATCTATATATGACAAAATCTCATGTAAACAAAATTTTCTTGCATGAAGATCATTGTAATGAAACTCAAATTCAAATTACATAACATATGGATCCATAATGACGACTTAATTTCATTTTTTGTTCACTACATTGATCAATTTTTATTTTTATTTTTATATAAATGATATTCTAATTTAGTTTTCATCAAACTTAGTAAACTAACATGCTAAAATCATGAAAAAAAAAATGTCCACTTAACAAGTTAGTGTACTAATTTGATGATATTTTTTGAAACAATAACTTGCCGAAAGATTTTTTTTCTTCTTCTAAAAGTTAGTGTACTAAGTTTGATTAGTGCCAAATTAGTATATCTTTTTTAGGAAAAAATGCCAACTTAGTGCTCATTGTGGAGTGAAGAAAACTTATATTATTTTTTGTATAAGAATGCAGTATAACAAAAGTGTTATTTTCTTGGCTTAACTTGTTGTACTCCAGGCTGATCTGTAATTGTACTCTTGGCTGTAGGGCGAGAAGAACTATTCAAAGGTACAAACAGTTTTGTTCAGAAGACTTTTCTGGAAATGATGCTGCTAATCGAGAGCAAATAAGCCAGGTTTTTATACAATATTTAATTCTCGAAATTTATAACCTAAATACTTTAGAAAAATATTGCATCCATTAAGTTGACTATTGTCTTGAAAAGGTCCAAGTTTGCCCTATCAAGTCAAATCAACTCATAAATTTGTTGCAATCCTCAATTAAAGCGTCCAATTTAGTGTATCTTTTTTTTTTTAAATTTCGTAATTTTGTTTACAAATGTGAGCTCAATTATATACTGAAGTAATATTTGAATAAATATATGAAATGCATTTTGTACTTTAATTTCTAAAATGGGGTAATTAAACAGATGGAGTCTCTTTACCAAGATGTAACCAAGTTAAAAGCCAAACATGAATCCCTGGAAGTTTCACACAGGTTAGAAAAATGTGCAACTTATGTCATGATGATTTTAAGTTTATAATATCCCAAATAGCAACAGAATAATATTTTGTATCTCAAACTATTTTGGTTACAAAATTGTGTTTTTTTTTTTTTAAGGCACTTACTAGGAGAAGATCTGGAGCAGTGTAGTTTGAAGAAATTACAATCTCTTGAGAAGCAGTTATTGAGAACCCAATCAAGGGCTAGACAATTCATGGTAATTACCAAATTTTCATTACAATTTGGTAATTAAATATGCATTTCAAGAACATTTGATCTAACAAAATATTAAATACTTTCTCAAAAAGAAGGGGGCTTATATGAAATTCTATTGTATTAACTTGCTGTAATAACTGGCATCTTATGAAAATAATGATTATTTTATTTAAACCTATATAAAAATGATTTTATTCTTGTTAGCATCATTTACCTAATCTCTAATGAAGATTCTAAATTTGTTTTCAGACAAAAAAGATGCTGGATCAAATCAAAACATTGCGCAAAAAGGTAAGGCATTATTCAAACACATTTTTCTTATAAATAACTAGTAAGTAGTAAATATTGGTCAACCAAAACACCATATTTAAGCATCAGATCTTTATGTGTGAAAGTTATTGAAAGTTAAAATAAAATGAGAAACGAGTGTGTTAACTGTTGTGTGACACTTCTGAAAATATTTCGCAGTTTTTGTCCTAAAAGAAATCCAAACATCCACACCGACTGAATACGNACTATGACTTCTAATGTCTTGTCTATATTTAAGTTATCATAATTCTGGTAACAGACTTGAAGGTTTCACATTTTAAACATAAAATGCCAGGTTGAAGAAGAAAAAAGTTGTTAAGATGAACTAGCTCGCCTCTTCAGAGCTGGTAGCGCATTCCCGCCTTTTGGCTTTTACTCTAGTCCCGAAATTTATCTATAGTTTTCAAGAAAAAGGAAAAATAAAGAGAAATAGTTGGGATCACTATCCGAGTTAATGCCGAGTCACATGTAAAACAATACAAACACGTCCCAAAAAAAATTAATCCCGAGTCACCGGGTTCTGAGTTCACCCAATTGAGCTGGGTTGGATCTTAAAACAATGTTGTGTTGCTAAACAATTCGCATAGGGCAAATTGTGTTGTGGTCTACTAATCGGACGTATTAATTAAACAAAATTCACGATCATGAACTACGTTAAGAATAGATCCATTTATGTTTAGAAATTTTGAAAAACAGCATTGAATGAGAAATGTTCACACAATTCTTTTTAGAGCTCAATTCCAAGTTTGAATAGATAAATGACAAGTTTCTCTCATATGTCTACTATCTCAATACTTCAACTAATACAATGAATAAGAAAACACATGAATAATATCAAGCTAAAAAAACGGTGTTTTTGTGATAGAATCAGACCTCATTACTCTCAAATGGGGTTTTATCAACACACATGTGAGTATGAGAGTGTGTGATCGGATAACTTAAAACCCAACCATCAAATCTGCCAAAACTACAAGTCACAAAAACAAGATAAGTAATTCCACCACTCACAGGATAACATGATTTGCAAACTCATCCCAAGATCAACAGACTCATTACTCGAAACATGAGCAAAATTCGCATATTTTAAACGAAACCAACAAACAATCCTACAGAAACTCATAACACGATAAACATAAAAACCNAACAAATATAATGCCAATACTGCATTTATTCCCATTCGGTAGGAGCAACTGCAGCGGGTACTACTCCTTCAACAGCCAATTGCGGTGGGGGAGCAGCTGAGTCCCATCCTCCATCAGCAACACCTGTAATTTACACACCAATTTTAAATTTACCCACCAATTTTAAACTCCTGATCGCAAGCTTTACTCGGGAATAGATTTTACAGAAATAGGTATACATTCTTTATGATTGATATTTAACCATGAGAACACAACCAACTTATGTGGTGCTCTATTTCACTGCTACTAGGGGCCCAAAAATTTAATCACAAACCAATTAAATTCGATTCTGCGTACCAAAACAATTCTCCATTAATTAATGAATAACAGGATAATGTATAATTACAAGGGTAAGGTCTGCGTACAACTGACCCCCCACCCCAACCTGTTGGGAATATACTGGGTTGGGTATGTTGTTGTTGTAACAGTATAATGTATAAAAGACTACCAATCTCACTAAAGAAAAGAAATGAATATAAATTAGACCAACCTGTAGTATCTGCGGCAGTCCAACCACTTGCAGCACCAGAAGGCACATCAGGAGCAGCTTGCCATTGAGCTTCTGTGATTTGGGCACTCGACCAGTCAGCACCTCCAACTACAGCAGCTGAAGCTGAATAATCACCATAATCTCCAACTGCTCCAGCTTCCGCTTCTTCTTCTTCCTTCGACTCCTCAGGCTCCCGGTAGAAGAATAGATCTACCTGCAAAATACAGAATTTCTTCATAAGTATTATCCAGAGAATAACTGACGGTTTTAATGAACAGGAAATAATAGTAGTGCTTATTAACTAATGTACAAGCAATTACTATATTACCATGATATCCCATTTGTGCCCGGGAGCAACAAGACCCCGCATCTGAAGCACCATCCTCGCCAAAAGCCAAAAGAGGCAGCCAATACTGTGTTTTCCCTTGTTATTGGCCGGAATACCGATATCAACATACCTCATAGGGGAATCCGTGTCACAAAAGGCAATGGTGGGGATGTTAGAAAGAGCGGCCTCCTTAATTGGCTGCAAACAGCATAAATGGACAAAAGTCAGTGAAGTTCTGCACACGGTTATATACCAATTTATACAATCGAAAATAGATAAGAAAAGAAAGATAAAAAAAAGTAGTTTAACTTTAACCAACCTGGTGATCAGTCCTTGGATCAGTAAGGATGAGAAGCCTCGGCTCGCTAAAAGAAGTCTGAAGCTGATTTGTGAAAGTACCTGGGGTGTGACGTCCAGCAATTGCATGAGTGCCGGTGTATTGTGCAAACTTGAGGACAGCCCTCTGACCATAGGGCCTTGCAGACTGGACAATGATGTCTTGAGGGTTCTCTATTGCGACAATGACCCTGGCAGCCAACTGAAGCTTTTCCCAGGTCTTGCCGAGGTTGATGATGTAAATTCCTGAAAATAAATGCAAATTCAAGGCTGAGGAACACGTACAAGAACAAGAAAAGATACGATTAAGGAGCATGAGACTTACAGAATGATAAAGGGGATCTAAAATACATATTCAACTATGACTACTTTTTCAATATAAGGGGAGAAAGTTTATCTGGGTGAATACAATATCACCAAGTTCAAATTCTAATAGGATACAAGACGCAGCATGTCCGCAGAAAACGATATAAAAAGACACGTACTTTCTGATTCAACAAAACTGTTATCATAGGAATACCATTTCTACATTTGTCAAACTCAACCTTATAACATCTAGAGAACTTAAATCACTGATACCTTTCTGCTTTCTAGCTCACTTAGTTTGCTATCTTCCTATCATCATCATCTTCTTCCTTATGCTGACAGATCTATCAGCTATAATTATACCCTAACGAATATGCAGAGAAAATAATTTCATAAACGCTGCAGATTGGCACGCAGGATATACATGGATCTAAGACTTATTCGTAAGCCAATCAAAACACAGACAAAATAACTAAACTTGTAGAAAATCAGAGAGCCTGAAGAACAATTTTTTCACATCGCACAAACCAAATAAACAATGAAAATACAAACAAGATCGCGCACACGTCCATTAAAAAAGTACACATACCATCATTTCTACGCTTGAATACATAGCGCTCCATCTGAAAGTTGCAGTTTTTGGTGCCGAGGTGAGCTTCGGCCGCGAGCAGCATCTGTATGTCCTTCTCCTTGGTAGACAGCGCCATGGTTCCAGCAGAATATTTGCTCTCTCTGTAGTCTGTACTAGCGCGATTTCAGCTTTGCTCTGTGAACAAATGGCTGCCGATATTCCGTATACGGACTCTAGCTCTTCTGGTAGTGATAGACTGGTAGCGTCTTATACAAAAACCCTAAATCTGCGATAGTCTTTGGTCTGGGCCTTTCCAATCTCAAGCCCATCAGCCATTTATTTAGAGTGCTAATGTGGGCTTGGACTAAATCACCATAAAAAAATATAAAAATATCAATTTAACTCTAGTTTCCCTCAAGAGATCGAAAGATAAGTTAGCTATCAGTTCGGGCCTGAAAGATAACTATAATAGTTCAATATCCATAAGATGTAAAACTATCAATTTAATCTAAAGAGATAATACCACATAACTTTTATTTACAAGTGATAACATGACCATCAATAGATACATACAAAATAACTGAATCTAAATAAAAACTAAAAAAATATCGAAAACAATAATAAATTTATGTGTTGGTCTCAATCTTACTTTGGTATGTGATCGGTGTAAAAAATTACGTTTATTCAGTTTTTATTTCTGGTCTAGACTAGAAAACAATTTGTAAACGTTTATATTTAAATAATTGGTGTGACTTACAAAAATATATTGTTATGTTTCATCTTTCTTTCCAGTTTTTATTTATATTACGATATTTTATTTATTTTCTTAGTAATCATGTTTAGAGTCTTAATTGGTAGTTTTAAATTTTGCTGGTTTGTAATCGATAAATTGAATCTTTCAAACTCGAACTTTGATAGTTGAGCATGATATGTTACCGAAATGTTAAATCTTTCATGTCCTAACTTAATACTAACACATTTTTCGGCAGCGGAACTAATAAAACTCCATTAGTTTTACTAGCTTTATTTTACTTTTTTTTTCCCTTTAAATAAAAAGTGAATGCTATTCTTTGTTTTACATGGATTGTCTTAAAAAAAAAGTGAGTGGTAAACTATAATTCTTTTACAAAAGCTTTAGTAAATAAATATAAAAATTATTGTACATATCCAACACTAGCATTAAATCCATATAGAAGCAAATACAGTTGGAATTCTATTGCTAATACAATTATAAACAAATTCATTGCAATTCTATTGATGTTTATCAAAGAAATATATCTGTTGCTAATGCAGTTATAAACAAATTCGTTCAATTGTGTTGGCGCGAAATATTTATGTTGCTATTTAGCAATAGAATTTTCGAGTTGCTAATACAATCATGACAAAATCCGTTGCAGTTCCGTTGGCGTTTACCAACGAAATATTTCCGTTGCTATTTAACAACTAAATTATTCGTTGTTAATACAGTTATAAACAAATCTGTTGCAATCAATTGCAAATTTGTTGGTGTTTGCTGATGGACAATTTCCGTCACTATTTGCCAACGAAATAGAAAGAAACATTTTTCCGTTGCAATATTTTGTTAGTATTCTATAGCTAATCCGTATAAAATTATATATATAATGTATAGTTAATCTATTATTGATGATCCGTCGATAATCCCAACAAAAATATTTTCGTTGGTAATTTCTATTGGCATTTTGCCAATTTGTTGTAGTGATATATACATACATCAAGTAAATATTATTCCACCCAAACTGCATTTGTTCACCAACTCATGGGACCTTTGAAAAACAAGTACTGTGTCTTTTGAAAATTAAAGAATTTGATAAAAAGATGTCAAAAGCCGGTCCTTCTATTTGGCTGCAGGCCGATAAACAATTCAGTCACTACCTCAGAACTCTGTGTACAATGGCTGCAACTCCCAATTTCTTTATGTTTTCCAACTTCACGCCTTCTTTTCAATTCAATCTGCACGAACATTTGGTCGTTATATATCTTCTTTCGAAACAATATATATTCAAAGCATATTGATCGCACACATGTCGTATATTTATGACGAAAGAGAATTACGGCAAAATGTTTTACCTTTTCAGAGAGTTTGCCATTTTCTTCCAGCAGAAACTTCTCCTGAAAATGAAAATTCAAATCATATATATATTGTTAGCAACATAAATTTGGGAAACTGCACAAATAATCCAACATATAGTTTGATCACACCTTTGCCTGTAATTTTTCGATTTCTTCCTTGAATGCTTGAGCCTGAAACAATAACCAAGACTTTATTCCTTTCTTTCTGTTGTTCATGTTTCAGCTCAAAAGTGGAGCAAAAAATAATTTTCACTATCGTTATATTTTCTTTGGTGTCATATCTTTCTCAAGGTTACCTAGCTAAGTTTTTTCATCATATAAATATCACTGCCATGTGCAATCTTGCAATCATTTTATTATCAAACCAGAAACAATTCAGTATGATCAAGTATATATACATATACCTTTCTCGACCTTATGTTTTTAAGGCTTTTCTCCAATTTGATATCGATTTCTTGAAGTTCTTCCATGGAACATGTCCCTAGATTATGCCCTAAAAGCTTCCTGTATATACATAAGCCATAACATAAGCCAGACATAAATTAACTCATCATCAAATATTTCATAAAGGAAAAGCAAAAATTCTATAAGACAACCTGTGGGAATTTTCCAGAAGCTCTATTTGCTTTGCTAAGTATGTTGCTTCATGCTTTAGCTTCTGCAAGAACAAGCATATGACAAGAGACACTCAATCTTTCAACTGTCCCACAAATCAGGCATGAATATCTTGTACAACTTCAAACAATTTGAAAGTTATGTATCATTAAGTTATTAAGGGCATGCCTAATATATGTCCAGAACAAATTCATAGGGCACCATACAATTAATAACATAAAAACTAATAAATATAATGTCTTCACCAAAAGCCAAACATCATATTCTACAATTGTTCTCCTTGAGTTTTCATTTTTAAAATTAAAACTGATCTATAACTACCTCACTTATAACATTTTCGTGGTAAATCAGTTTCGATATAACAAATCAAAAGACCACTTAGAAACTTATCACTCATTGACTCGTATCCAATTTTTGCAGATATATCTTCACATAAGCATTGGCAAATGGCAATTGGCAAAGTCAAAGTCAACTTCAAAAGTCTATATATCAAGGAATTCGGCATTACATTGATTCTGGTGACACATAACTAATCTGCAAGGAGGTAAATTAAAGCAAACCTGCATGTGTTGCTCAGCTTCTATGCCAGAATTTCGCTCTTTCGTCAGTTCAAGGTATTTCTCAATGGTTTTCTGCATGCTGAAGATTTTTATGTTATATGACAGTGCAACAATGACAATGAAAGTACTATAAAAAGTAATAATGCAAATGAATGAAGTTGGCATGTTATGTGTTGGTTCAATCAGAGATAGAAAGGGTAAAGAAAATCCCACTAAACTGTGGACTCAAGGGGCATTTTAGAATCCTGTTTGGGATAAGGTTTGAAAAATTCCTAAATCTTCAAAACCATACAAAAAATCGAAACTCACTAAAATTCAATCTCTGTAACGGTACTAAACTTCAGGATGGTTTGGTTCGGAATTTAGGACTATCGGTACAGTTCGGTTCGGATCGAAGCTACAAAGATTTCTACTTATTTTCTAATTTTTCCTTCGCATAACTATCAGTTATATTTAAATTTTGATATATATTTTTTTTTTAATTTCCAACATTCATAAATATCTAACCATATTAAATATTTTATTTTCAGATTAACATTAGAAGATATAGGAATAAATTAGAATTTTAGTTAAAACTAAATTCTTGCACCTAATGATAAAACTTGAAATACAAACAACAGATAATATATTTAAAAATATATATATTTCTCTAATTTTTCATACTATTTTAATTATAATATAAAATTAGAGTAAGAAAAATAGCAATAAATACAATATAAGTATCATTTTCAAAAAAAAAAAATATTAATTGAGGTCAAGTATGAAATGGAAGTGAAAATTAATTGTTATGACTATCTGTTTTTAAGTATTTTAGAAATACTTAAATCATATAATACTAATATTAATATATTGAACAACACACATATAGTGTTATAGTTCGCTTTTTAATTTTTATTTATCGGTTCAGTACGATGTGGAATTATTCATCTTGACTCTTAGTACAGATATTTGTAAAACCTTCACAACCGTACAAATTTTGTTTCGGAGAAAGTCAAACCTAATGGAAAACATAAACAAATCATAGAAAAATCATAATACTATTATCTTCCTTTTACCAATCAAATTTTCCTTTCTTATTATCACTCATCATCAAAGGGATAACCTTCTAAAGTTTATGTTGGAGTTGAGATTTCATTGATATTGTTCTAAACCAAATGAAGCCATGTGTAAATTTTTTATTTATTTTTATATATTTGATATAACCTAGATACAAAACATTAGCCCCTGATTAAATAAGTATGGACATGTTCTACAACCATAACTAGCTTAGTGGTATAAGCACATCTTTGGGTACAATTTATACACAAATATAATTAAGATAAAGGAAATAGAAATTTTATAATACTCACTAAAATTCTATGGTCCTCATGTGGTATACTTTTAGCTGGTATATTAAGTGAAATGTTAATAATCTAAATTAAACAAACAAATTAAAGCATTTACAATTTCCTTTACCCAAAATAATTCTATAACTCTCAATTGATATATCATCCACATTGAATAAATTCTACCAGAGAGAAAATTGGAAAGAACTATGAAGCCTAAGTTCCCCACTAGTCTTGCCAAATGTGCTAAAGTACATTGATAGGTTAGAAATTAAAGCAGGTTAATGCAGAACTCCTTATAAATGTTCTTAGGTTCTCATTAATTTACTACATTTATGTATAGACAGTATATTTAAGTGTCAAATTACATGCAATGAAATTTGTGGTGAATTTGCCCATGTCTTTATTGATTTACAAGGAAAAAAAGAACCCAACATATTACACATAATAATTACATCTCCTATTAGCAAGAGTCCTACCACCGGATTTTTATCCGTTGAGCCACACATACAAACACTTGTATGGATGTGTGTTGATCCAACGACTAAAAACCTGTTAACGAGGGTAGGATGAAATTTTTCGAAACATTATAAATTTATAGGAAAATATTGGGTTCTACCACAATTAACACTGTTATTCAATTAATTCTTCATAAAAAATAAACAATAAGACTAATGACAATAATAAAATTAAATTAGCACATTACATATACATAAGAATAATATTGATATTTTCCCTCATCAAGTACTGTATACAAGTACAAAAGCAAGCACATAGCACAATACCAAGGTACACTAGATCAGCTAAGTGTAACTTATTAAAAAAAAAAAAAGTAAAATGGTGAAACCACTTTCTTAGAATTGGTTACCAAGATTCTATATGGGCTTTCAAGATTTTGAAGATACAACATTATGTAACTATTAATTAGTAATTAGGACTTACTTGGAGCTTGCAAACTCATAAAGTCTCCCCTTTTGAGAGAAAATGATCAAAGCAACTTCAGCATCACAAAGCACTGAGAGCTCATAGGCCTTCTTCAAGAGCCCATTTCTTCTCTTTGAGAAGGTCACTTGCCTACTCGAAGCATTTTCGATCCGCTTCATCTGAACTTTCCCTCTCACCATTTCTTGATTTGATCTACATAGTTTCAATAATTTTGTGTCAAAAAATGAAAAAAAAAAATATATATATATATATATATATAAAAATATTAAAAAAAGTTAACAATAAGAACAATAATACAGCACAAATCCAGTCTCACCTCAAAATTAAGAAAAAAAAAACAAGGTTCAAGAGATTGAAAGCCCTTCACAACTCAATTGCTCAAGAGCTCTATCTATTTTTTTTTTCCTTGGACTAAATTGAAAATTTTCAGATAGGAAAAATCAGATAAATGTATGTAAACCACAAGAAGCAGTTGGAACCCCTATAAACCCTAGTGAAATTTTATACCAAATACATGCTTAGACTGCTATTAACCTCAATTTGAACATGTACTAAAGCTACAAACCTACGAACCCTAGCTTTTAAGGATATCTTTATTCTTTGTTAAGGTTAAGGAAAAAAGGAAGAGCATACATAAATAGTCAAAATCAAGAAGAAGGATATTTGAAATGAGGAAACTTTAGTTGCAGATTAGATGCTTTTGGATTAATTTTCACCCAAAATGGAATAAATGGCATGAAGCTTTTTTCCAAGATTTATCACTTGGATGGCTAAAAATACATAAGCATCAGAAAAAATAAAATAAATAAATAAAGAGGAAGGATCTTTATTTGGAAATCTGTAAGCAATTGATAGAAAAATCTCTTTATTTTCAGACCATACAACACAACATTTCCGTATTTATCATGTATCTATTATTCCCATTGTCTTTCTCTATCATGACACCCACTAAAATGGAAATGCCCTCTAAAAGGTAAGCTGGGAAATTGTTAAAAAGAACAAAAGATAAATAAATAAATAAAAAGCAAAATGAAAAAACCTAGGTTGGAGTTGTATAGGATATTTTTCGTTTTATTACTGCATTGAATTAAAAATAAAATTAAATCTTTTCAAGAAANAATCTTGTACCCCAGAGAATCAAATTTTAGCACGCGGTAAATTGTGGTGCAAGGGAAAGGAACTGTTTTTTACTGCTATCATAGAAATTTTGAAAATCTCATATAACAAAATAAGTAAAAGGCTATAATATTGTAGGCTAATTAATATATAGGGATCAAACGTCAACATCATCGTACTGTGACGTGATGGGCCAGCGAATGGCTCGCTGACAGCGCACATTGTGATTATCTTTGAAAAGGTCGTTGTTCAGAACGACCAATAGAGACATTGTTAGGTGCATGACTTCATTTGATTGGTTAGAAAAAAATAATAGTTGAATTAATAGATTTTTTTCTCGATAATAATATATAAAATTAAAAAGTAGAGTACATCAAACTAACATCACAAAGATCAGTTCAAGCAAGAGGGCATGTTTGAATATAAGATGTTTTGATTTTGTTTTGACTTTTTGGTTTGATATGGTTAATTTTGAAAAAATTTAATATGGTTAGTTATTAGTGATATTTAAAGTTTATATTAAAATAATATTTAAAACAAAATAATTAAAGTGTATGTGATTTAAAGTATGAAAAAATGGTGTAAAATGATGATTATTTCAAATTATATGAGTGATTTGAATAGTGAATTAAAGTTGATGTAATTTACAATAATGATTGAGTTATATTATTTAATTATATTGATAATATTGAAGACAAATGATTTAATTAAAGTTGAGTTAGATTTGAGGTGAAAAAAATGATTAGTTAAAAATGATTGGAATTTTTTTAAAAAAAAAATATATCCAAGAATGTAAATCAGTACATAGGGTGTGACTGGACATGGATTTGATTGGTTTTTTTATTAGTTTTCTTGTTAACTATAGTTAATTTCAAAAAATGTGATATGGTTAGTTGTTAGTGGAATTTATGTTTAAATTAAAATAATATTTAAAATAAAATAAATAAATTTGATTTGATGTAAAAGTATAAGAGAGATCATATGAAGTGGTGGTTAGATAAAATTATGTGAGTGAATGAATAGTGAATTAAATTGATGTGATGTGTAAAAATAATTGTTGATATTATTTAATTATATCGATAATATATATATATATATATATAATTATATATATATAATTGCTAGCTAAATATTTAATAAAACCTATTTAATTTTACCTATGTGGCAATATAAACATTTTCCTCCAAAAATCGTTACTTTTGATTTATTTAACATTTCATTTAATTATTAGATAATCAACACACTAATCACTTCAAAGTTATAAAAATTATTTTATATTTTTCATTACTGACAGTTGACCATATAATGTATTGACCGTGTAATGTGATTAGATGTAATGATTGTGTTTACACTTAGATTAACTTTTTTTGAAAAATAAAAAACGTAATCGAAATTCCTAAATAAATAATAAATAATTCACAAAGAAATAGATATCAAATTGTACATTACATCGAATCTGATAAACACAATTTAAAATAAATAAATATTCTAGCTCCTTTAGTTATAAATTTGGCCTGCAAAAAGCGAAAGAAAAATAATTAATCACCATATATTTTATATTTTCAAATAAACTATAAATCCTTATAATGCAAATTGGAAAATTCTTGATTATAGAAGGGATTGAGTTATTGAGCTAAATCAAAGTTGTTTAATTAATATACAGAATTAAATTCTAAAAAAATATGTGTGTATATTTTGTAAAATAGTTATATATTATTTAATTTTAAATTTATTTACATATTTAAAATAATTACATAAATAAATAATACTAATGTGCATTAATATTTTTCATTACATAAAAGAAAAGGAAAAAGAAGACAAACAACTTCTTAATTTTTATAAATAATAATGACATTATATAAAAAAAAAAAGTTTATAATAATATAATAGTAAAGTATTATATGGGGAACAAGAATAAATAAACTGTTATTTTCTCTTATATCAATGAATAAATATATATACTAAAATTAAATTTATATTAGTATAGATGTGCTAATGAGATAATATATTAATTATTTTACAAGCTAGCCCTAACATGCTTATATTAAATGTTATGGCTAAATAAACAACGTTGATCAAAAGAGGTGGAAAATAGATTATAATCCTATTATTTTTTAGACTTAACGCTGATTAAAAGATGTGGAAAATAGATAATAACCATATTGTTTTTTAGACTTAAACATAGAACATGTGAAAATAACTGATTTAATATCTATATGTCTCGTTCATCGCACGAGCTATGCATTAGTTAGGAATTAATGTGCTATTTTAATGTACTAGTATGAATCTCGTGCGATGCACGGGTTATATAACAATTCAAGCAGGACGAGGTTGCTTATATACTGCGAGTGTTCACACTAGGGGCGGTACCGTAATTACTTGGTTTGTTGCATTCACACTTGAAGAGTTGGTTAATTACAGTACCGTTCAAGCAGGACGAGGTTGCTTATATACTGCGAGTGTTCACACTAGGGGCGGTACCGTTCAAGCAGGACGAGGTTGCTTATATACTGCGAGTGTTCACACTAGGGGCGGTACCGTAATTACTTGGTTTGTTGCGTTCACACTTGAAGAGTTGGTTAATTACGGTACCGCCCCTAGTGTGAACACTCGCAGTAAAGAAATATTCATTAATATAAATAAATTAAATATTATCATCAAATAATATTTATAAATTTAAAATATGAAATAAATATATAGTACAATACCTATATTAATTTATTAAAAATATTATATAAAATTTAAATTGTGTAAAATTACATAAAACATGTCTATTTAAACTTAGTGCACAACTCATACGATGCACGTAACTGATAATAAATTACATTATATTCATTTCAAAATAAGTGTCATTTTAAAATTTTTATTTAGATATTCGATTTGACTACAATGAGATTTTATTAAATAATTATTTTGGTAAATTTCTATCATATATTTAAAAACCTATGTAAATAATAAGTATAATTGTAAAACTTATATTATTTCATTAATTAGAATGAATTTATTTTTTATAAACTATTCAAATAAAATAATTTAAGTAGTTGAGTAATTTATTAAACTATAAATAATTGACTATTTCATTTACGTCCAAGTTAATATTGATCCGTAAATTATAAATAATTCCTTATTTGACTTTTAAATTTAAAATCTCAATTTAGAATGAACATTTATAGTTGCAAGTAGTGCTATGATTTATTGTGTTTTAATGCTATTTTTAACATTGATTTATTTTCTTAAAAATAGCAACACAATTTATAATAGCATTTGTGAAAATGATAGCACCATGTGATATTAAAAATAGCATCATACACAATAAAAACTAGCATCAAATACGGTTCTCACGGTTCTCACACCAGGACTAGTTTTTATTTGAACCACTCCCTATATATATATATATATATATATTATCTCGTAATTTTTTAGATTTATTGTCGGTTACATTATCGTTCAAATTTATCAATTGATTCTTTATAATAAAATTATAACGTTTAATTTTATTAACCAATATTTTTTCAAATATCTTCCTATTTTTTAAGGGAAATACACCTTAGAACATACCAATTTGCCGAATATATCATCAATATCTTATGGCAAGTTAATATGAGAATATGCTAAAATTTGATAATCATATCACCTTGATTTTATAACAAATCAACCTAAAATTTGACTTTCATACCTATATATTTTGTTTTCAAAATTTGCAAATACACTAATATCCATACCAAATAAAATTCTTATCATTTAAATTCGGACATTTCATACCAAAATAACATTGTCCCACTTTATATGATAAATTCAAATATTTATTAATAACAATACATTTCCTACCAAAATAAAAATTTTCATCACATAACTCAAATAAAATTGTCCACTTTATATCAAAATCAGGTTTATTAATTTTGACAACTTTATACTTCTAGAGGCGGGATTTTTTGAAAATTTTCAAAAAAAATTACCAAATTTAGTAATTTTAAATTTTTAGGTGAGATTTAAATTATATTTCAAGTAAATACAAACTTTTTTATATCTATATAAATGAAACTAAATACTTTAAAATACAAAGGACAAATTTGACTCGTTCAAGGATCCGAGTGGACTCGTAACTCAGTGGCCCATATCTTTAATAGTAACCCTCTCCTTGTTACATACTTTTTCTTAAAGAAAAAAAAAAATTGTTCAAATGTAAAGATTCTTTTAGGAACAAATTTCTATGTCCGCCCAAATGTTCCGGAAGGAAAACATTTAATTATTTTTAAAGTTAATTAATATTTGACTACTTGCTATCGAAAATTACTATTTTCTATTCTTTATTTTGTATTTTGTTTATTTTTATCCAATGTTTGTCTAACATTAAAAGTTATAAGTAGTGCTCCAAACAGGAAGGAGAACATTAATTATTTTTAAAGTTAATTAATATTTGACAACTTGCTATCGAAAATTACTTTTTTCTATTCCTTTATTTTTTACTTGCTATCGAAAACATTATTTATTTTATTTATTTTTAAAGTTAATTAATATTTGACCGTTTTATCCAATGTTTGTCTGACATTAAAACTTCTAATGTAGTGTTCCAAACAATATATTACAAATTATAAAAATAAAAATGGTTGTTTGAGACATTAAGCTCATTTTCGGATAGTAAGTGGGGGAAGATGAATCTTCTTACCATTTTTTAGGTTAGATAAAAATCTTTTGTTTTTCGGTCAAGATAGTATTAAATTTAAACTATGCAACTAATAAAAATAATAGCCGCAATATTTGATCAAAATGATTATGTACATTAATTACATTTGATTTTTTTAATTTAAATTTCAAACGATTGACCGCCACTTTTAAAAAATGTTTAAAAAAATTACTAATAAAGGTAAAATTGGTTTTTTTGCGGGATTTTAGTTAATATTG